TGGCCTGTTGAATGAAAACAACCGCACCCTGGATCTCTGCTTTGTGAGTGCTCGTGATACAGCTCCTTTCCTCTCCACGGCACCCGAGCCTTTAGTCAAGGAAGTGCATCATCACCTTGCTTTAGTTATCGTGATCGAAAATAATATTGTCAATGATTTCACCAGCACTCCAAACGCTGTGTCATATGACTTTCGTAGAGCTGAGCATCGCAGTATCGTCCATGTGCTGTCTAACCTAGAATGGGAGCATATTCTAGATCCTGTAGACGTCAACATTACTGCACAAACCTTTTCTCACGTCTTGGCATATGTCATTGACAGACACGTTTCCAAAAAGAACATCCATATCGACTCTCGCGTCCCGTGGATGACGAAAGATCTTCGCTCATTGAAAAGAACTAAGAAGGCTGTTCTCAGACGATTTAAACTCCGCACACTGCCACTGAAATGCTACTATGTCAGACTCAACCACGAGTATAAGCGGTTAAGTCGTCTCTGTTTTCAACGCTATCAAAGAAGGATTCAACGGCGGCTAAAATCAAACCCGAAATCCTTCTGGAACTTCGTAAATGAGCAGCGCAGGGAAGTCGGCTTACCCTATTCCATGATTTTTAATGGTGAAACTGCTGGCAAAATCAACAAGACATTTGCAACCTGTTATGAGCCAAATTTGCTAGTGTGTTTGAAGACGACCAACTCTCCGCTAATATCATTACTTCCGCGGCCAGCAATGTTCCTTTGGTCAACCAAACGCTCAGCATGGTCGAAGCTACTACAGATACGATTTCTAGAGCAGCATCTAAACTTAAGACTTCAGCTAAGGCTGGACCCGATGGTGTTCCGTCGATTATTCTTAAAAAGAACATCACTTGTCTTTTAGATCCACTGCGCCGCATATTCCAGCGGCATCTTTCCGTCTTGCTGGAAGACTGCGAATATGTTTCCTGTTCATAAAAAGGGAAGCAAACGCGACGTAAACAACTACCGGGGAATCACGTAGCTGAGTGCTGTATCAAAACTTTTTGAATTGGTTGTCATAGAGTCCCTAAATGCGCATTGCAAGCAATATCTAAGTACAGATCAACACGGATTCATAACTGGGCGTTCCACAACTACGAACCTGCTGTGCCTAACGTCTTACATCACAGACAGTTTGATTGCTCGGACCCAAACGGACGATATCTACACAGATCTTACGGCAGCCTTCGATAAGCTGAACCACGAAATTGCGATCGCTAAGCTTGGTAGGCTAGGGATCGGTGGAAATCTTTTGAGATGGTTTCGTTCATACCTCACGGAGCGCCAATTGATAGTAACTTTGGGTACTTGTCGCTCAGCAAGCTTCTACGCAAAGTCCGGTATACCTCAGGGTAGCCATCTGGGACCATTGGTATTTCTCCTTTACTTCGACGACGTTCACCATGTTATCACAGGGCCACGATTATCGTTTGCAGACGATCTGATAGTTTTTCTGCGCATCCGCTCTCTCGCCGACTGCCGTTCTCTCCAAAATCAGATTGACATCTTGACTGACTGGTGTAGTCTAAACCGACTGGTGGTCAACCCAGCTAAGTGTACAGTTATTACTTTCTCACGCAAGAAACAACCGATTATTTTCAACTACAAACTACTAGACACGACTATCGAACGGGTGCATTGCGTGAAAGACTTAGGCGTTTTCCTAGACTCAAAGCTGACATACTCATGTCGTCGACAAAGCGTCCAGAACGCTTGGCTTTGTCTTCAAGATTACTAAGAACTTCACAGACATTTACTGCTTGGAATCGCTCTATTGCTCTCTCGTACGATCTACGTTGGAATACTGCTCTGCAGTCTGGAACCTGAACTACAATAATGGGGTCGAACGAATTAAATCTGTGCAACGACGTTTTCTTCGCTTCGCGCTCCGTAAGCTGCCTTGGAGATTTCGTCTTCCAAGCTACGAGAATCGCTGCCAATTGATCAATGTCGAGCCCTTACGTATCCGAAGAGATGTTTTCAGAGCCTCAACCGTCGCCGATACTCTGCAAGGAAGAGTCGACTGCGAAGCGATTCTGCAACAAGTGAACATTAATGTTCAACCTCGATCACTACGCAACAGTCTTATGCTGAGACTTCCACTTCTTTGAACTAATTATAGCTTAGGGAGCGCTAGTGTTCAACCGAGTAGCGTTGATGTTCGATTCCCACTTGACACGGAATATGGTTCGCCGAAGATTCTCTGCCTTTTTTGCAGCCCGGAAGCTCTTGACGCCCAACAGCTAAGTGTAAAATTTAAGACTTATACATTTTTGGTAACTTGACAATGCTTTCCTAGTTATTTTCGTTTGTAACTGTAGTAGGGAATTTACGTATTCTCGGCAACCTAAGCAGCGACCTTCTTTCTACAGCCTTTTTCTCTATGGAACGCACACATATGCAGTATTGGTTTGTTTACAATCTTTTGCTGCCAGCTGCTCTAACAATTTCATTCGAAAGAATTGTCAAAAACTGTTTTGAAACGCTTTTACAAAGCTCCAATCTTCTCTAGTGAGAGCGAGTATTGTCGGCAACCAGTTTTTCTTCGGCAACCGTTCCATTTGAACTGAATGTAAATCTGCTGTTCTATTATCGGCAACTCGAAATCAGCTACAATTTGTAGTGCGTGTGTTTTATTTCAAGAAAACCTTGCTAGATTGCTTTTTCTCAGTGGTAAAAATATAGTCAAATTAAAGCTGAAAGCATAAAGAATCGTTTGCATGCATTCAGCGAAGTGTTTTCGTAAGAAAATCCAGTGAAAATAGTGTTTCAATTTGGGTTGCCGAAAATAGTCCGTCATGCCGAAGCCGTCATTTCCCCTATATGTAGTCTGTATAATCTGTACTTTTTTTTTACAACACATCATTGGGACTATTTCTAGTCTGTTGATGCAAACATAACAAATAAACAAATAGATTTTGAGTATGACCAGATGAGTGAGTGGTAGTTTTGTGCTTTTCTAATGAAAAATCAATGCTATTTATTTTTTTCTTGAATTTCTTCACGCCGATGGCACAATAATTTTTTTATGTTATTTTTCACATGTTCTGGGCAGGATTCTCAATATATGAAATCATAACTACCTCATTTATTTACTTCTGTCCATAATGCAATTGTGGTCCTAAACGTGAAAATTTATGATTTTTCGTGATTTTCCAAAATCATGAAAGAAGAGCAGATGCTTTAAGGAGAAGTTAATATCACAAACATTTTTTTTAATCAATCGAAGGACCCACTTCAATTATAAGACCATCGGTTTTTCTTTTAAGATCTGGTCTAGTTGGTGCATGTACAAAAAGTGGGCTTCATTTAAAAGACCCCGGGTATTATTTGCGTTGGAAGACTCAAGCTCAAGGTCTATCTGAAGGTCAATTTTTGTGGGTGGTTTTCTGTCCAAATTTGTGTGATGATGTCAAAGATAAAATATTTTATTCCGTTATTTCCTTCATAAAGAACGCCTAATTCTCGATTACTTTTTCGAAGGGACGTATCAGCTTTTGTAAACAATGCATTTAATCGTTGATTTGGCGTAACTGGTAGCTCGCCCACGCAAGCTAACACTACCGTCAGATAGGGGAAATTTACCCCTACCTGATAGTGGTATTAGTATGCGTGGGCGAGCTATCAGTTACGCGAAACAGACGATCAAATGCTTTGTTTACAATCGTAAATTGAGAATTGCAGAAATCGAAACGATGTCTTTGATGTCGTCGTATTTCTCTAACAATTCCATCGTTGGAACCATTGTTAATCATTGAATTCGTCATTGAATAATTGAGTAATTCCAAAGTAATTCCTAAAATTATTCAAGTAATCGTAATCGTAATCGCCAACACTGGTGATACGCCTTGGAAATACACCCTCGGGATTTTTTATTTGTTGTTCCGCCTTGGTTCTTCGTTCGCAAATTTTGTGAGAGTGGGATTCCCAATAAAAGTAACCATAAAAGAGAGCAGCTTAACAACGACGTGTTCGGGGTATCATCCAAACCATTTGTGGGATAGTTTACCGATCCGGGACGCAGTTCATTTATGGTACTTGATTATTAGGGATTACGCCGTTTTTTGGTCTTCTTTTTGTTCGTTGTTTACACGTGAAATATCCATCGGATGCATTTCAAATAAATCAGGCGTGACTAGATACTATAGAATCAGTACGTTTGGCATATTAAAACAATATAATTCGTTGTTCTAGTGCAAGGCGTAACAACCAGATGCATCATAGAGTTGAAAGTTGGAAATACGACATGTAAAAGGAAACGTTTTTGATGATTTGAAATGATATTCACCCCTATTATGCATTTCTTTCGAAACGAAATTCTCACACAAAAAATAAAAAAAAATTGTATAGGAATTTCGTTTCGAACGAAATACAGAATAGGGGTGATTATCTTCTACTTTTTCGTGTTTATCGAGTAGTTTGTGAACTCAGGCATAACATTTGATAACGGCACAAGAGCATTTGTAAACAAACTTTCTAAGGCCCTTTACACGCGAACCAAAGTACGCCTACGCAAACCAATACCACTTTCGGAAAGGTGATGGTTGCCCCTATCCGATGATGTTGTTGGTTTGCGTGGGCGTACTTTGGTTCGCGTGTAAAGGGCCTTAGAAAGTTTGTTTACAAATGCTCTTGTGCCGTTATCAAATGTTATGCCTGAACTGTTCTCTCTATATGTGGCAAATATGGCTTGTTTACATTTTGGCTCTTCCGTCCCTTAGTCTGCTCTCATTGTTATGATTTCTAGCGTGCCGGACGTTGCGCAGGGGAATCTGGGGAATGGTTTCCGGGCAAATGACAACATACTGGTTTAGGACCTTTTGAAAAGTTACATACAAAATCCACTTGGACACTTTCATGCATACAGGGATGCATCCCTGATCAGCTCTGTTATCCGCCGTTAGTCGCTCAGCCACAACGGCCACAACTGACAATGACAAACGTAAGCAACCAGTTCGTTCACTTTCTCGTTCGTGCTCGACCAGAGAAGTCGTCTTTCGTGCGTCGTGTCAGTCATTAGTGTCTACAGGAGCAATCTACACTTTGGAGTGAAGTCTAAAAAAACAACTACCTACTTATACATTAATCATGGAGGTGAGGAAAGTGATTCCACTTTTACTATTGATAATAAATTATTCGGATTAATTTCCTCAGGTTGAAATTCTGGACGCGAAAAATTCCAAATCCCTCGGAAAGTGCCGTGTACAGGCTGAAACCACAATTAAAGCATTGAAAAATGAAGTTCAAAACCTGAAGCCATCAATGCCTGTTCACCGGCAAGCGCTGCGATCGGAACCCCGTGGAAAAACTTTGAAGGATTCCGATACTCTGCAATCGCTCGGCATTAGCACGGGAGGGAAAATCTACGTGAAAGATTTGGGTCCCCAAATCAGCTGGAAGGGAGTCTTCCTGGCGGAATATGCTGGTCCTATATTTGTGTACCTAATCTTCTACCAGAGACCGTCATTCATCTATGGAAGTGCCGCTGCGAATCCAGTTAGTCTGACCGCCAAGTAAGTAACATTACATACTTATCATAATTGAACGGTGGTAGGTAAAATGAAAAAAAAAACAAGCAGTGAAAACTACTAGCGACAGGAGGGAATTGATTATGCGCATATCATTATCAGTACTGCCTCCAAACGATGCAAAGTCGATTAAAAACGGAAACTCTTTGGCAGAGGTTACTACGGTCTTACAGGCTATCACGCAAACCTCAAGTAAAATGACGATTAAATTGAAGAAGAAGAAAAACATTTGTCTGATAAGATAAAAGTGTACTAAACCCGAAAATTGCAAACATGCATGAAATCCAAGCACTTATAGCGGAAGAAAGTTTTATGCCATCAATGCACTGCCGCTCTTCGCATGTCCGTCCCATAGCGAAAATCGGCAAGCCGAGTAAATTGCGTTTTAAGTTTGCTTCGTACCATTGCTTCTTATGTGATGGGACAACCAATGTGACTGTCTTTCCAAACTTTTTCAGAACAAAGTTGATGAGTTCATCCAGTATTATGAAAATATGGGTAATTAGCTACCATTTGCATTGAAAAACTTAGTTTTGACAAAAACGACTATGGGACTGACATGCGAAGAGCGGCAGTGCAGGTGTCCAATAAAAGTAACACCACAGACAATCAAACCGATCTTTGATCGGTTATATAAAATACAGTCTCTCGACTTAGCTGCCACTCTTTCGCATACAATCAAAACACAACTTTTACATTGGTGCGTGGAACTGATGGAAAACTTACTTTTGGCTACGTCATTCCACACATTTTCGTCAGAAAGCTATGGCTGAATTGAATTGTGGAAATTAGACAATCATCCGAATCAATACGACGTTATGGCAACCTTCGAAGGTATGCAAGAGAGAATTAGGAAGATACATATCGTAATAGCACATATCCTACGTCATATTTGCGTGTAAACAAAACAAAAAAAACTCTAGCACTGACTTGGAATGATGCATAAAAACGATTCTGTATGGCAACAACGAGTTTAGGTACCTGCTCTTTTTTTTTTTCCTGTGATAAATGTTTTACTCGTTGCTAGTTGTATGAGTTAACAGAAAACGTTATGTACGAAAATGCACATGTATCTTCTCACCATGGTTACAAACTGCTTGGCATTTCTTACGTTGAAAAAGGCGATTAAAATTTTTGCTGAAAGAGTCGCTGTTGGTTAAATACACTTATAAGTAGGGGAAATGGCTCTAAGATTGGCCTATGAATCTAAGATTGGGCCCATCGCTAAAAATCTGCTATTTATCAATTTTATCTAGATGAACGCGTCATTGGGACGGTAATAATGGATATTTTTGGTCGCTATTGAAAATTTAGTCAATTGCTGAATTTATGTATGGTCTCAAATTAGGGGCATTACATTACATCCATTTCCCCTATTTATATTATTTATCTTCTTCTTCTTCTTCGCATTTCAAGCTTATATCGCATATTAGCCTATTGCGTGCTCTCAACTTAGTGTTCTAGATGCACTTCCACAGTTATTAATTGAGAGCTTTCGATGCCTGTACCATTTTTGCATTGGTATAATTGTGTGGCAAGGTCCAATCATACTTCTATGCCCAGACCGGACCGGGAATTGAACCCAGCCACCTCCAGCATGGTCTTGCTTTGTAGCTGCACCTTTACCGACTGAGCTAAGGGAGACTATGGTTACATTATTTTAAAGAAATGGATGGATTGTTTTTGCTTCCAAGAGGATAGCTCGTAAAAATGCTTATTGTATAATTACAGTAATTCTACTACTGAAATGACAAGTTCAATTCCAAGATAACAAGTTCAGGGAAGGCCTGCCGAACCTCAGGAAAGTATTGCCAAAGTTCAGGGAAGTTCTGCCAATGTTCAGGGAAGGCCTGTCGATCTTCCGGAAAGTCCTGCCAAAGTTCAGTTAAGTCCTGCCGTAGTTCATGGAAGGCCTGCCGAAGTTCAGGGAAGTTCTGCCATTTCAATTTTTGGAAATCAGGGAAGTCCTGATGAAGTTCAGAATACCTCCATCAAAAAGACTGAAATTATCACAGAATATCCTCAAACACTTGTGAAAATAGAGGAACCTTTTGATTTTAACAATATTTCATCTAGCAATCCCTCCCCATGGACATGGAGGTTGACGGTACTGAAGCAAAGGGTTATGTTTAATTTCTTTATATTTGCAACGATGATGATTTCCCATAGTGACACATATCACCTTCTTAATGCTTCAGTATATCTCAAACGATTAATTCTTGGTTGTTAATAGAACTTCCTTGATGCAATCGGCTGCTTCATGCAGACTGAGCAATTCTGATTATAGTATCAGATTTGTTCTGTATACAGAGGAACTGGGAGGGCTTATTAGAAACTTCTCACCAATAAAGTAATGACCTCATAGTAAATTTTGCATATCAGTTTATTAATATTTTATTTTATTTAAGCATATTATTTTTGTTACAGTCAATTAGCATTAGCATACAATACAAGAGATTTAATATTACTTGCTCGGTTTTGCGTAAAATAATCAATATGTATTTTGCTTGTAATTACCTTTGATTTTTTTTTGTGATTTCAAAATTTTCCTAGTTTGGTTAGAAGTTTCGAAGCTAACACATGTCCACAGGCCTAATAGAAAGATAGACAGACAAAGCGTATCATGAAGAATAGTTGCATGCAGGGTTGCTTCCACTCACTTTCTATAGATAAGTGATTTTCGGAGTTTTGAATTCGTTAGATGTTGTAGTGGAGGTTTGTGTTGTTGGATGCGGGAGGAGATTGGGGGGCGGGTGTTTGACGCATAGAGCCTGTCAATTTCGCTTTCAGAGTGTCGCAGTCAGCGGTTTTATGATTCGTGAGCGCTCGCGATTCGTAGAATCGTTGATTGTGACTGCCAGTGGATTTGGCGGGTTTTGTGTGTCGGACGCTTGCTTTTTGGCCTTTTCTTGTGTCTAACATGTGCAGAGTATCATTATAGCGTTTAATGGTTTTTAGATTCCTGGTTGCGTGAAATATACTTGTGAGAATATCTTTTTGAGATTTTAGTAGTCACGTTTTGTTTGTAGTTTATATGTTATTTCTTTCATGTAATTATCGTAAATAATAGTTATTCAATAATAGATAATTCATCCATATATTCAATAATAAATTTACGAATGACTATAATTTGGATACCTAACAATTGGACAGAATCACTAGCAAGAATAGGTTGTGTTCGCCTTCGAAAATATCGATTCGTTTTTTCAGGGTTGTAGTTTTGGTTTTCATCAGTAGTGGATTTCCCAAGTAACATTGCAAGTTTTATCACGGTTTTAAAGCATGCTACAAGTCTGAATCATACACTCCAAAAAATATGCACGTCCGATCTACGTGAAAACATAGGTAGCTTTCGTCCATACTACTTTTCACGTAACATTTACGTTAATACCATGTAGCCAAAAATATTCCCATTTAGCGGTCAACGTGAACAGTAAGGTAAATATAACGTGATTTCCACTTAAGTTGGAAGCGGTTATCACGTAATGTTTACGTGATTTTGAAATGATATTTACTGGAAAATACTGTTCATCTTACGTTTACGTTCCGTGGTTTCCACTATAATTGGAATGGGTGTGCACGTAATGTTGACGTGATTTTGAAGTGATCTTTACCGGATCTAACAAATACTGTTTTCCAACTGTTGTCCAACTGTTTGTCCAAGAAAAGAATATTTAAACATTGTTAGCATTTTTTTATTAATACATTAAGTATGTCATTGAAACGTTACACGCAGAAAAATTTACCGTCGAAACAAAAATATTTGAGGTAAATTTAAACGTAAACTCAGTTTGTTCTGGCCACAAACATAAACTTGGTTCATTTCAAACGTATTCTATGTTTGAATTCATTGATAATAATGTTTAAAACAAAAATAATGTTACGTTTATTTTAAAAATATTCGTGTTGAAAATAAACGTGAATATTTTTGATTTATTTGGAAACTATATGCGATCAAAAATTAATATGTTTATTTTAAACGTGCTTTTCGAGTTTAAAATAAACAAACATATTTTGAAATTATTTTAGCATTTGAATGCTGCATAAATCAAAATAAAATGGATAGCAAATAAATGGAAATTTCAGCTATTATGGAAAGTCTGTGGATGTTTGGATCCGGGGAGCCGTCGGGGTGGGTGTCCGATCCGATCCAGTTCAGTAAAACCGGTGAAACTTTGTGATATTAGCGTCATTTTTCGTTTCTGACGCTGGTCCTCATACCGGCCTCTTTCTAAGTTTAGTGTTCGGGGATGATCTGTTTTTCTTTCGACGTCGGGTGGATGGTGAGGATGATATGGGGATCGGCATCAGAAACGACGGATTGACGTTAATATTGTGATGTTCCACCGGTTTTGTCGAGCCCTCTACTTTGGTTTCGCCGCTTGCAGGCCGTTTTCGGTTAAGTTTGCCGAATGTAAACAAGAAGGAAAAAAGGACACGCTAAAAATTGATTACCCAGATTATGTATTGTTGAAATAAACATGCTTTTGAATTTAATTTAAACATACATATTTTTGATGAAAACGTATTTTTAATTTACTTTGAACTATTCATATTTTTATTTAATAAACATATATATTTTTAACTTAAATGAACAAAATTTGGTTCCGTGTAATACTAACCATTTCGCTTTTCCAACTTTTAATTGATCATGACAATTCAGATCTCGATTCAGATGCAATATTCGTTTGCACTGTTTACTGTCGAGTCAGACATTTGGAAAATGCCCATAAATTGTATCTTGTAATCCAACCTCTGAAATCGAAATAAATTTAATTAGCAGTGTATGACGGATTTCAAATAAAGCGAAATAATATAAAAATACCTTTAAACAGTTGCAGTATGCAGTTAAGGAATCACTTCTTCCATTAATAAAATCGATGCCGCCATATTGAATCCCTTTTTCATACATGTAAACCACGTAAACTCATTTTACGCAAGCACACCACAATCACTCAACCGCACATAGAAGTTTGATGGGAAAA